GCTAAATCCGACCATTTGCCTTGTGGGCCGCTGTCACGTCCCCCCCTTGGGTGCACCCACAGTCTCTAAATACACGTCCCCTCTCCCGGCCGCTGTCCTAGTCCCTTCCTTCCTTTCCCTCAGTGGGTTCCCCTTTCTTCTCTTCTTCTGCTCTCAAAACCCCCCCTCCCTCTCTCTCTCTTCTAGAAATCTCCTCCTCTGCTACGATGCAGGTTTGGTGGTCACGCAACCGGAATCAATCCAAACCAACCCGATTCCTCCCAGCTGCAGCTCCCAGCCCGCGATCCCAACCCCGTAACTGAAATATCCAGACAAAGAAGAGAAGCAACAAGCCTGAAGTTTGTTTTTTTTTGATTGTTTTTTTTTAGAAACTCATCCGAAGTGTTGGCAACTTCATCTTTGCAATGGAATCTTTCCTCGTAGGTTTGTACCGGGGCCCTGGAAGCCTGCAGAATGGGAGGAATCCGGGTTTGGGTTGGGAAATTTAGCGGACTTGCAAGCAGTTGTGGTTTGGCTCCCTCAGTGAACGCCTCGAGTCCACCATACTTGAAAAGTAATAATTCTACGCCATACTGCTGATTCTGTCGAGAGTACTTTAGTGTTGAGCTTCGTGGGTTTCATCGAATGAGGGACCGTAATAGGACATGAATTAGGTCGATCATATATGCTCACTGGTTGTCCGTAGTTGGAGTTAGCTTGGTCAGGACGATCATCAGGATGCGCTCTGTCCTTTATGACTGTCTGTTGTTTAAAAATAATGTAAGTCATAGTGTTGGGAACAAGAGTAAGGGCACCATTTTGCTTACACAACAGCCAGCTCATGATAGAGCTGGTTGATTCAAATGAATACTCGGGACTGGGTTTAACTTGTAGCGATATGCCCACAAATAAGATGTTTCCTGTCCAACCAGAACTAATGCCGCTTGGCTTCTGAATAGCGCGAACACCAAGGCGAGCATTCATCTCTCAATCATGGTCGCGCCTACCCATTGGTTACGGGCTCAAATAAAACTATAACTGCCTGCTCATTGACTCTGTTTTTTCGTTTCATCTAATTACAAAGTAATGGCACTTAATGGGAGTGGCTCGTTGCCTTTTTGATTTGCGTGACCACAAACGGTCAATACCGTCGAAAGAGGACTGGAGAACTTTCCTAGAGAGAGGAGAGGAGGAGCGCGCCGCGGGTTGTTTATGGAAGAGCCAGAGAGAGAAGAGAGAGGAGAGAGAGGGTATTGTGGGGGATTTGAGGCCGAGGGTAGATTGCCCGATGTTCGGTGCAAACGAGAAAGGTTAGGGGTGGGTGAACAAAGTCCAGAAGGCCGGGGAGAAGGGTACCGTGGTGTTTTTATTTATTAGGTTCAGCCGTGGTGGGGTGACAGGGGTGGGATCAATATCCTGTTTTGAGAGATTATGTGCTTTACATACTTTCATCGATTGATCGGCCGTTGAAATACAAAGCTCACCACATACAAAAGATACGGCCCCCTTTTCTTTTTGATGGCTTGAGATATTGGTTGGGCATTCTTCCTGAAGGTTCGAATGAACCGACGAAAATATAAAGCTAATCGCCCTTGCAATCCTACTGGAGCTCCTTGAGATTTCTCAGGAGGTTGAAGATTCATTAATCGCCTTACCTGTTATCTAAGAGCGGTCAGTTTACAGTGCCCTTGTAGGGGACGACAAATCCCAGGGAACTTTACCACTGGACATTCCGAGAAAGATACTTGGTAGGATTCATACTTCAGGAGAATTTGATGGGCTCGCATCAGGTCGAACATATGAGTCTCAAGTTTCGTTTATAGTGATCCATTCTCAGGTAATTCGCGACTTATTCACGATTAGTCATCGAACATCCCCAATTTTCTAGGGCCTTGAAATTTAATATCAAAATCACTGTACAATCCACCCCATCTTTCTGCGTGGTATGAAGAAATGTTTGTCATGCCATTTCGCTGTAATTGAAGCAAATTAAAACCATCAGGTCTATCAAAGTCTGGCACGTTCCAGTGCTACAGATTTTCTTAGGTCTATGATTTTCATTCTGCTGTAAAAAAGCCTAAAGTAATCTTTATCAAAATAATCGTTATGAGATTTTTGCTACTAGGATTCCCTATTTATGGCACTCTCCAAGGTATATGACTAACTTTTTAAAATTTTACATGTAAATAAATGTTGTTGGGCAAATCTCCCTTTGCGTCATTAGGTTTGTAACCAATAATTTATTAATATGCTTTCATGCGATAAAAATTATTAAATAATATATGGGCTCAATGTACGTATATGTGGGAAGGTTAACGACCCGCCGTGTAAGTGAGCAGGAACTAACGAGAAACACTACACTTCAAGTATACCGTGAGCTTAAGGTGTTAGCTATAATCCACCGAGCGTACGGAAATTGGTCCACGAGAAATAAAATTACAATTGGTTCATAACTTTGTAAGAACGTCCGCCCTATTAAAAGATCTCAAACCGGATATCATGCTATTTATCGTTCTATATCTGATGATAAGTATGCTTGTATTAATTTTTGACGTGCCTAATATGTCTTTAGTTAACCCAATTGAATTAAGAAATTTGTTATTGAATAAGTCTTCATGTACATAGAGAAATCAGTTTGCCCATACTTCCAAACCTTCCAGCGCGAAAAATGATTATCATCTGAACTACATTGTTAGATCCTCCTCGACGGAGAGGATCGGCCCGGTCATCTCTATTGTTTCTTCAAGTGTTGTCAATGGAGTGGCTAATGTGTAATGGATATCTAGAATTGACAACCCTTCATTTGGATGGAACGTCCAAAGTATGAAAAATAAAACCCCTCTATTGAGTTAAATATGAGAGGTCGTTAAGAGGTTGGCAGATTGAAGAGATGGAAAGAGGAAAGCAAATGACTTTGAAAGTTGGAAAGAACGAAAGTGTAATACACCAATGATAACGCATGCAATTTAATTGGAAGAGTTAAAAGGATTGAATACTGATGAAAAATTAATGCGTTAATAATGGAATTTGAATAACTATAAATGGAGCCATATGGGCCCTCCATAGTTTTGAAGATAATGAGTGTTGTCTTCCCATACAAAGAATGTGCATCACAAAGATTTAAACTTGTCAGAAAGAGATGAGACTTACTACAAAGTGTGAATTATATTCGAAAACTTAACGACCAATTGGATTGATGTACTCATTTATACTCCTATCAGAAAAAGAATGTTCAATTCAAGCAATTTAAAAGCAATTGCACAGTTATGATACCAAATTGTTTATGGAATGCCACAAAAGAAAATGAAAACACCATAAAGGGGAAAAATATGCCTAATATTGATTTAGCAATACTTAATTTAAATAAGCATTCCTAGCAAAGAATAAGTTATGGTACAAATAATAATGGCAAGGATATTCATATAACAAATTAAATTAACAAATGAACTAATATGTCGCAAAACTAAATAATGGAGACATAATGACATATGGCAAATAGAGCACAAAAATAAATACGCCCAAAAGCCAAAACTCAAATACAATTAAACGATCACGATCCTTCGTTCTACGGTCTCACTCCCACTCTACGAGAATACTGCTATCACAAACCCAATTCGAGCCAGCCGGATACAATTACACAACAATATCATTTTAATGCTCACCGATCGCAAATTTTCACTCAACGGATTCACCCAATGTTAACTACACAGAATCCCCACCCTCAGTGATTGCCATATCTCACGTGTCCCATCCTCAAGTGAATGTTCGGAATTCCGGCGGCGCGCACCAACAAGCAAAAACTGGTCGGAATGGATGGAAATTACCGCCTGCCCATCCTCTTGGAACGAACCCACGGTATTAGGACAGGGGGATTATTATTATTAAGAGAAATATATTTTACAGCCTCAGTGTCAAAATCGATATCGCAAGGATGGAACTAAACACGGTTTGCATCGATTAAACAGGTGATTGTACAGATTGTTTTTTAGTGACATCGTTTTCAGTTGATTTTTTTTTTTTCAATCCAATTTTTTTTGTTTGATTTTTGGGAAAATTGCTTGGAGAAACCAAATAAAGTTGGGCTAGGCATCCACACCCCAAGTCTAAAAACCATAACCAAAAAGCCCTAAAAATGAAAAAGAAGTGCAACCAAACCCCAAAACTCACAGCCCAAGAAAACATTCCCAAATTACCCTTCTTCTTCCTCATTTAAAACCCAATCCCTTTCTCCTCCTAATCTGGCCCAAGGTCTCCCCCCACCGCCTCTCCCTCCCCTACCACCGCCGACGTGCCCAAGGTCCTCCTGATCTGGCCCAAGGTCCTCCTGATCTGGTCTTCTATGGTCCGAGGACCGAGTTGCCGTCGAGGGCAACGCCGGAGTCGTTCACGGTGATCAATTTGCTGGAATTGGATTTCTCAAACAACTCATTGTCGGGTCCGATCCCAGCTGAGCTTGGGAAGCTTACTAACCTCACATCATTGGGCTTGTTCTCCAACAATCTCACAGGCAAAATTCCGCCTGAGATTGGAAACATGACTTCATTGGGCTATCTAGATGTAAACACCAACCAATTAGAAGGGGAGCTGCCCAGCACAATTTCCCAGCTTGAAAACCTTCAAACTCTTCAGGTATTTACCAACAATTTCACAGGGGCTCTGCCTCAAGATCTCGGTAAGCATGGGCTCTTGGTTACTGCAAGCTTTTCGAACAATAGCTTCTCGGGTCCGCTTCCACCTACTCTTTGCAGCGGCTTCAAACTTCAGTACTTGACAGTTAACAGAAATAACTTCTCAGGGCATCCGCCTGACTGCTTGCGCAATTGTGGTGACTTGATACGAGTTCGGTTAGAGGGGAACCAGTTCAAAGGCGATATATCAGAAGTATTTGGCATTCACCCCCAACTCATATACTTGGATGTCACAGGGAATCAATTGACAGGAACACTATCATCAGATTGGGGACAATGTGAAAGCCTTCAATACTTGCACATAGATGGAAACAGCATCACTGGAGATATCCCAGCTTGTTTGGTGAGATGAGCAAGTTACAGGATTTGGGCTTGTCTTCCAACTTCTTGCCAGGCACAATTCCATCTGAGCTTGGGAATTTAGATCAGCTCTACAGGCTGAATTTGAGCAGTAATCTGATATCTGGGACAATTCCTTCACAGATTGGCGGTATCACATTGTTACAGAGTCTCGATTTATCGGGAAACAAGCTGACAGGCAAGATACCTACTGAGCTCGGCAATCTGGATCGGCTTCTTTTGCTTGATTTAGGCCAGAATGACTTGTCAGGCACCATACCTGACCAACTTGGGAACTTGGGTTCTTTGCAAATTGCATTGGATCTCAGTAGAAATTCTTTATCTGGAAAGATTCCTTCTAATTTGGCAAAATTATCATCGTTGGAGAAGCTCAATGTTTCCCATAACGAGCTCTCTGGCCAGATCCCGAAAGAGCTATCACAGTTGTCCAGCCTGGTAACAGTTGATTTCTCTTACAACAACTTAAGTGGCCCCCTACCTTCAGGGCACGCTTTTGAGAGTGCCACCTTGGAGGACTTCGTCGGGAACCAAGGGCTCTGTGGCAATGTTTCAGGTCTGCCGTTGTGTTTTCTAGTTGCTGCATCCAACGTTTCTCACAAGAATCACACCAAGCTCATCCTCGCCATCATTCTTCCCATTGTCGGAGCTCTAATACTAGCATTCACATTCACTGCGACCATTTATGTATGGAAAAGGAGAGAAGAAGATCCTGTCATGCTGGAGAGCATGAACACAGATAGTTTCATGTGACATATGACGGTTTCATGTCACATATGTTGTTTTTATGAGACATTTGTTGTTCATACGGGATATTTTGATGTTGTATGTGATATTTGGATGTTGTATGTGATATTTGAGTGTTGTTTGTGACATTTATTGTTTATATGTGATATTTGGGTATTGTATGTGATATTTGGGTGTTGTATGTGATATTTGGGTATTGTATGTGACATTTGTGTGTTGCTTGTGACATTTGCTGTTTATACGTTAAATTTGGGTGTTGTATGTGATATTTGGCTGTAATTTGTTGTATTTGGGTATTGTATGTGACATTTGTGTGTTGCTTGTGACATTTGCTGTTTATACGTTAAATTTGGGTGTTGTATGTGATATTTGGCTGTAATTTGTTGATAGTGAATGTGCTTATTTGTCACATGGTTGTAATTTGTTTATACGTGACACATGACTATAATTTATTGTATGTGATATTTAGATTTAATAGAGTCATTCCACATCCTCCTTCATCATCATCCCCTTATTCTTCTTTTCCCACCAAGACCTAGGAATAAATAACTCATCCTTCAAATACTCTGACACTCCTCTTCCCCTTCAACTCAAACTCAAATACTCTGACACTCCTCTTCACCTTCAACTCAAACTCAAATACTTTGACACTCCTCTTCACCTTCACCTTCACCTTAAACAACACCCAAATGTCACAAATATCATATACAACACCCAAATGTCACAAATTACAGACAAAAATAAAATACAACGCCCAAATGTCACGTATAAACAGCAAATGTCACAAACAACACCCAAATATCACAAATTACATCTAACAATCACATACAATACCCAAATATCACGTGTAAACAGCAAATATCACAAGCAACATCGAAATATCACAAACTTTAGTCATATATCACATACAACACCCAAATATCACGTATAAACAACAAATATCACAAGTAACACATAAATATCACATACAGCACCCAAAAATCATATACAACACCCAAATGTCATAAATTACAGCCAAATATCACATACAATACTCAAATATCTCGTATAAATAACAAATATCACAAGCAACACATAAATATCACATACAACACCCAAATATCACATAAAACACCCAAATGTCACGTATAAATAACAAATATCACATACAACATCCAAAGTACAAAAAATATTCTGGCGGAGGATGTGAAAAACAAACAATATCATTCATGGGGTTTATTGAGTGAAGAGATGTGGTTGGTAATAAGTTATGGAGGCTCTCTACAACTCAGGCTTCTAAGCTACGATTAGTTGCAAGAAACTGAATGAAGCCATCCACGTTCTTGTCTTGCCGTTCCTTGTCCCGAACAACCTCCATCATCTTCTGAGCTCTCTTCCTGTAACTCTCTCCCTCTTCATCCACCATCACCAACCTAAGGGCCTTGGCCACATCTTCTTTATTGAAACATCCATCTTCTTCGTTCCTCTCAACCTCGACCCCAAATCCTTTCTCCTCCATCAACCTCGCATTCAAACCTTGGTCCAAATCCACGGGCAGCAGAACAAGCGGGTGTCCAGACTGAAGACCTTCGATGATCGAACTCCACCCGCAATGCGTCAAGAATCCTCCGACCGACTCATGAGCCAATATCTTCACTTGTGGCGCCCAACCCTTAACAACTAGCCCAAAGTCCTTGGTCCTATCTTCAAACCCTTCTGGTAGAATCTCACCATCTGGACTCAAGCCGAAAGGCTTTCTGAGCCCCCAAACAAAGGGCAGTTCCGCCGTTTCAAGTCCTAGCGCCAGCTCGTGCAGCGACTCGGTGTTCATAGCCACCTCGGTCCCGAGAGCGACGTAAACCACGGACTTCGACCTCTGCTTGCCGAGCCATTCCATTATTTCAACTTCAGATTCATTCGCATTCTCGTTTCGTTCGTCCACCGATGGCGGCAGCAGGCCGACCGGAACAATCGGCTTCTTGATGATTTCTTCGAGCAGAATCAGCCACTCGGACTCCAATTCCTCGCAGCTCCACAGAGCGATTGCTCTGCATCCTTCAAGCGCCATCTTGAAACGACGCGCGTCGGGAACACCGGAAGGGTTCGGTAACCTCGCCATCTCGAAGAGCCTGCGCACCTCGTGCAATTTATACGCCATATTTGTCGGGAACGGGACCCTTCAAGATGGCCACCGTGAACGACTCCGGCGTTGCCCTCGACGGCAACTCGGTCCTCGGACCATAAAAGACCAGATCAGGAGGACCTTGGGCCAGATCAGGAGGACCTTGGGCACGTCGGCGGTGGTAGGGGAGGGAGAGGCGGTGGGGGGAGACCTTGGGCCAGATTAGGAGGAGAAAGGGATTGGGTTTTAAATGGGGAAGAAGAAGGGTAATTTGAGAATGTTTTCTTGGGCTGTGAGTTTTGGGGTTTGGTTGCACTTCTTTTTTATTTTTAGGGCTTTTTGGTTATGATTTTTAGACTTGGGGTGGGGATGCATAGCCTAACTTTATTTGGTTTCTCCAAGCAATTTTCCCTTGATTTTTTTATTGTCCATGTCGTTTGTACTTTTAATAGCGACTGAGCGTAGAATCTGCTCACAAAAACTCATATTCAGAGGTTCCACAAAAAGGTAAGTTTATGCTATGCTTGCACTGATTTTTATTTTTTATATTACTTTAATATAGTGGTAGTAATTTAAAGGCTAACTAGTACTTAAATGTGCTGAAGTTTCCCCTCGCTTGCGCTTTTATACCCTTATTATCTATATAACTAAAGTTTCTAAAAATTACACTCTAAAATCTTATGTTATGCAAACACGAGAATATCTTTTTTTTTAAAATTCATATGACGCTCATAAGCTAATTTTAGACCATTTATCTATATTACTCATATGACAATTATTTAGAAGAAAATCACACTTTTGGTTCTACTCTTATGTGTATCAAGATTTCAAAATTTTCAACATATGTTCTCAACAATTTATTTTTACATTGGAACTAATTAGTAAGGGCAAAATTGAAAAGATCTCATAACACCCTCGTCCACTATTTTATAACTCTCTCCTCATCCCCACATTTTCTAATAGTAATATACTTTGCGTCACTTTTGGCAATAATTTTCTAAAAATATACTCATGTTAGTATTGATTATTAAGGTATTAAAAATATTTTTTTATACAAAAATTTACTATATAATGTAGGCATTGTGTGCACCAGAGAACTAGGTCTAAAAGAGAAATGTGATGGTTTTAATAGTAAATTCCAGAAATAATAAAGGCTAAAAAATATAAAATTAGCTTATGAGTGATATATACATGGATAATTCGGTTAAATTTTTCTCACGTTCACATAATAGAATATATTAAAATCTAAACTTTAGAAACTTAGGTCATATAAGTGCGGTCGAAATCAAGTGAAGATATATGCGTGCAAACTATGGAAAACAATAGAATATTTTAGTACTAGCTAGCTAGCCTAATTTTAACTTGGTAGCCGAGACAGATTAGATTTTTTTTTTTTTTTTTTTTTTTTTAGCTAGCTAGCCTAATTTTAACTTGGTAGCCGAGACAGATTAGATTTTTTTTTTTTTTTTTTTGGTCCTGGAGAGTTGGGTGGGGCCCGGGAGGTGAAAGTAATGGAAACGTGAAGAGAAAGACCGTTGGCGTTGGAACATCTCATGTCAACTCGTGAATTTTTATTGATTATTTTTCCTTTTTTGTCCCTTTTTAGTTGTTACGGTGATTATACAACGAATGATATCGTCACTTGAGTGCATGCGACCCATAAGTGACCAACGACGATGATGAACAGAGTCTCTCGTACTATGAACCGGTTGTTGTCGTATTGGCATCCTCTCCTATTAAGTAGTGCTCATAATATCTTCTAATAAAAAGATCTTGACCTTTGATTTATTAATTAAAGACCAAGATCTCATTCTCCTCCCCCTCTTACTTTTCTTCATGAGAAGATCATGGCCTTTGATTGATAAATCAAAGGCCGAGATCTCATTAGAAAATCTTAGGAAGCCTCTCATTAGAAGAGGATCCCAATCCGTTGTTGTCAGCTGCAAGCCTAAGTTAGATGTAGCGACGTCTTTCGACCAAAAAACAAACCATCACTGATCTTAATTAATGGTAATATTATGATCATCTATGAGAAAAAGTTAACAGACGACTTGCTTATGGTAATTGCGTAGAGACAATGGTCTTCCTATAATGACTCCAAACTGACTACATGGCAAGTATTTTTAGATCCTAAGTAATGGAAAGATTATTATTTTTATCATAGCTGTTGATGTATTCAATATGACACATAAATGGATGAAGAAATGAATAACAATCTTGAAAGTAATAGACTATTATTATTCAAAATACAGAGATCATTCAGCTCTTAATAAATACATAAGGGGTTTTTAAACGTAACTGTCAATATAAGTTATTTGTGCAATTGCTATTCTGGAAAATATAAATATAAATATAAATAAATACTGATTCGTGAGAATACATAAGAATGGATATTAAAATAATGTTAGCTTGACTTCTGCGTTTCAACGTTAATGAAGTAAGCGCTGTCGTCAACTAATCCTTGATATCTACACTGTATTAGTGATTAGGAGATCATAAAAAATTAAAAAGATTTAAGAGTGTGATCATCAATATATTAATCAACAGAGATAATTGTGTAGTTAGCTTCATTAATTACCTAAAAATACTTGTAATGTGAACTAGTCATAGAGTCCTAAGGAGATGAGTTCGACTCTTGGTGATGGCATGTATTAATTGCAAAATATAAGCAGAGTTTATGCGACAAAGAAAGAAAACTTAGTGGTAAGAATAAAAGAGGAAAGGTGAGATTGGTTGACTCTTGAATTTAGAGTTTTTAATGTGAAAACATAAATTAATAAGTACATATTGTGGTATCTTAAATCCTAGGTGTTGATACATACACGAGTGAATGGGGTTGACTTGGTACATACCTTTATCACTACATAATTCATATTATTAACCCTTTTTTTTGGTCAATAATTCATGTCATTAACTTATTCAACTCACGGTTAGATGATTTACATGCAAGAATGTCATCTTTGGCGGATCCAGAAATTTTGGTTATTGAGGGCAAGATTATAAGCAGGGATGGTAAATGAACGAATCGCATCGAATAGGAGATGTTCGTATTTATATTTATTCAAATTGGAACCCAAATTCAAATATCCATGTCTACAATTTTTTGAATTCGAACTCAAATACTCAGTACTTGATAAATATTCATGAATATTTATCGAATATTAAAGTGTATTCATTCTGTTGAAAATTTTAATTTTTATATAGTTTTTAAATTCATAAATAAAAATTATTTCATTATATTTATGATGTATATATATATATATATTTCATTAGAAAACTGATTTAAAATTCTTTAAGCTTCTCAAAATTAGTACATAAGGCTTAAGTAGAAAATATAAGTAGTTTGAAAAATATAAAATCATATGTACAACGATACAAATTGTAAGTGATTAAATTTTAAATGAATATTTAATAAGCAAACAAATCAAACTATAAATGGTATTAGCTCTGCGTCCAGTAACTCTTGAAATGTTAGAAGGCCATAATGAGATGATAAAAATACATCTTTGTTACGCATGAATGGTATTAGAACTCAAACAGTTGAATAATCTTCTGTTTCTTGGATTAATTACTATCCCAAATTTTGATATCAAACTATAAATAAATTTGGAAGCAATAATAGACTGTAAGGCCAACACATTCTCTCCAAACAACACCCAATAATGTCAGAACATATTCACTAGTTTTCTTATTAGACAACATCATCACCACAAAAAATACATTTGTACTCACTCTAGCAACATCTATCCATTGCAAACTGCCAAATGCCCACTCTATCTTTGTTCCCAAATTGCAATGTCGCTTCCTGTCATCCAAGAAGTATCCTCCACATGGAAAGGTTCACGGAATCTGCCTTCAAAGTGCTACCCTTTACAAGATGAATGAAAAGCTATTGTGTTGTCTATCTATTTCAATATTTTTTTTAATTAAACCTCCCACTTTTGCCCACTTCACCTTCACATCTTGTGTAGGGACCAACATTAAGCGCTCATACTTACAAAAATTTAGATTAACAATGTCCTTATTTTAATTTTTTTGGATCCACTATATGAATCTTTTTTAATTCAGTTTTAGTTAGTTATTTTTTGATTAAGTTAATCATAACCATTTTTTAATTGTTTCGAATCAAGTTCTCCTAAATCTATCTCTAGTCTTCTTTTATGTTTTAATTATAATCTTACCATTCCTCGCTAAATGATGCATTTACTGGTCTTCATTGCATATGATCAGACTATATTAGTTGATTTTTTCCCCTCATATTGTTCTCAATAGCACAAACATGCTTTTTATATAATATAATAAATAATATACGACAATTAGAAATGGAAAAATATTGATTACAAAATTAGTATTGTGATTAAAGAAAGTTTTATATTGAACTGGATTGTTGAGTTACATGATGCAAACATGATATCTTGTGTTATGACTCGAATACTCAATCTGATATTTTTGGCAGAGGCTGTAGTCAATAGGAGTCCTTTATCTTGTGGGAGTGTGGAATAATTATATGAATTCAAATTCCTATTTTGACAAGAATAAATAATTGATATTTCTACTTGGACTCTTATTGGGCTTTAGAACATGTGGACGTTTATTCCAACTAGAACTCCTCTTCTGTGGACAGCAAGGAGTTGAGGTCTCCAAGGCTATATATGTACAGTCTTTCAAACCAATTATGATCATCAATCTATAGAGTACCAATCAAGACGAGATAGTTCTTTTATGAAGCATATTTGATATTTTTCTCTTTTGTTCTTTTAGTTGAGAGATTATATTAGGCTTTTTTAGGTTGTAGGCTGTCTAAAAATTATAATGGATAGCTGATACCCATTAAACACCAATGATGGAAGTTACAACCTGACGACTTCCACATCAACAGTTCGACAATGAAAGTTACAATCAAACGACTTTCACGTTAATAAATGAAGACTACAATTGAGGATTTTCACGTAGATCGAGAAATATTACAATTTATTGACCTTCGCGGCAACTGATGAAAGCTCTGGTTTAACAATCTTCACAATTAATAGTGACAA